CCCCCCCACACACATATGCACATACACGTTATCCGAGAGCTATTCGTTGAGTCGCGCTCACATCATCTCTGCTTAGGCCGGTGTTTGGAGACCGCCCGCGGCCCCTCACCACATCGACTAAGCACCATTTTTGATGACATAAAGCTTTTATTGAAATTGATTGCCTTATGCAGACAGACTAGCCTCATTAAGACAGACTGTTAGCAGACCGAGTAGCTACGGCATCGTCGCCGCTTTCCGTTGCTGCCTGCGTGTGTGGTGCACGTGCAGATGCGCATCCACGTGACGCAGTTCTTTCAGACGAAGCGGCGTCGCCGCGTGAAGGTGGCCGTGACCTTGTTGGCGCTTTTGGGTGTGTGCAACACGTTGGCAGTGGCGCTCAAATACTACCATTCCACTGTGTTGCGCTTCAGCAACGTCTCCCCGATTACCTTATCGACATCGCTTTTCCGCGCCACGTTGTCTTCAAAATGTCTTGTGTTGACCGCGAAGGCCACGAGTTCCGATACGAACGCAGTCTGTCAGAAGCTGGTCGGTGCGTCGGGTGCGAGTTTGACCTCCTTCGCGGACACCGTGTGCTCCTACGTCGAGGACGCCTCCGCCACGACCGCCTCCACCTCCACCTCCGCCACGACCGCCTCCACCCCGACCGTCTCTGAAGCGGAAGAGTCGGAGACGACGAGCCGGTCCGGTCGTCGAGGAGCCGTGTCTGGGATCCTGGCGCCCGACAAGCTGGAGATGCTCAGATCCGTGTTCTCATCGACCACCGACGACAGCACGGAGGACAGCGACGGGGCGGACGACAGTGCAGGGGAAGAGCAGGGCTGGAGCAAGGCCTGCCACTCGGCACGGGCCGTACAACGAAGTTCTGGCTGGGCATTGTGGGCACTCGCCGGCGGTGTGGTGTGCAACTTGTTGGCTATTCTTGGTGCCATTTTGTTCGCCTCGCGAGCCAGGGAAAAAGTGCGTCTTGGTTTCTTGGGGCTGGGCATCGTGGCTTCCGTCTTACAACTGCTCGCTGTCGGACTTTTGTTTGTCTACGGCGGCATGATCAACGTGGAGACTTTCCCCTTCGTGCTCTCCGGCACCGCTGGTTCTAGCAGCACTGGTCTGGATCTGGGACCAGACGCAAGTGCGGGGATCGGCATCCAGAGAAACAGTTTGTCCTATGGATTTTATTTGGCACTCGCACTCGGTCTTGCCCAATTGCTAACCGGTGTGGGCATTGCTCAGATGATCCCCGGCGTCTTCACCGCTTCCGTCCCAGAACAACTTGCCTATTACTACAACCATTACGCCCCATCTGACAAGGACTACATTCAAGACGACTCCGGTTTCATCGACGCACGCGACAGCATTATTCCAGACGAAGACTTCCTCCGACCGCCCGTGCTTCTCGACGATGACCTCGCCCGTGCAGAAGTGCAACACCTCATGCTCAACGTTCATCCCAACACTCTCGCCACACTCACCAACACAACCCAGCCAGCCGCGACCCCAGTCGTGACAAGAGTGGGAACACCCCTGGCGATGATGGGAACTCCGGAGGCAGCGATCGTCGGAATGCCAGTGATGGGGACTCCAGAGGCGAGAACGGCACCTGCAGTGGAAGATCCGAGGTCAGTGGCTTAAAAAACGTTTACGGGGTTGTCTGGTTTACTTGCCTGCGTGTGGGAACGACACCATGTTGGGAACGACACCATGTGTGGGAATGACACCATGTGTGGGAATGACACCATGTGTGGGAACGACACCATGTGTGGGTCGGTCACGCGGTGAAATATTTCTCCTTGATGAAGGTTTTCAGCTTGACCCAGTCCGCGTTGAATTTCCTGATGCCCTCGCTGAGTTTCTCGGTGGCCATTTGGTCCTCATTGAGGCTCCAACGGAAGGTCTGTTCGTCCATGGGTCGCTTTACGTCGTCGAGACACTTGTCGGCGGCGGAGTCTTTAGAGAGAGCGAGTTCCAGCGTGCCGTCGTCAACTTCGGCATCAAGCGCGTTGATAATGCTTGGAGGGATGGTGAGTTTATCACAGCCACAGAGACTCTTCACTTGTCCTGCGTTGCGGAAGCTGGCTCCCATAACGAGCGTCGGCACGTCGTTTTTCTTATAAAAGTTGTAGATCCGTCGAACGGCGAGGACACCGGGGTCAGTTTCCGGTGCCTGCTCGTACTCCTTCTTGATGTCTCCTATCGGTCTATTCTGGCTCTTAGCATTGTGTTCGCAATACCAATCCGTTATACGTCCAACAAAAGGTGAAATTAAGTAAGCCTTGGCATCCGCACATGCTACAGCCTGGCAGAACGAGAACAAAAGGGTAAGATTTGTGTGAATATTCTCCTGTTCCAGCTTCTGGGCCGCCTGTATACCTTCCCAGGTAGCAGCGACTTTGACTAATAATCTCTCGATGGGTATATTTTGCGTCTTGAAAAACTCCAATAATTCTTTTGCTCTCTTCACCGTAAGTTCAGAGTCGAAACTGTATTCAGGATCCACCTCGAAGCTAACCAAACCTGGAACGCTCTCGCTAATCTTCTTCACGAACTCGGCCATTAGATGCTGCACTACTACTCGCAGCTTCTCCTCCTCACCCGCTTCTTCTGACACACTCGCAAGCGCCTTCGTCACCACCTCCTTCACCATCGCTTCACTCTCCGGAGCCATCGCGGCTGCCAGGATCAGCGATGGGTTCGTAGTCGCATCTGTCGCCTTCTTCGCATCAGACAACTTCGCAGAATCCACCACCACTTCTGTGTGCGCCGTCAGCTTCTGCAAACTAGATATCGCCTGACGCTTTGACTGGGTCTTTTCTGCCACCGGCTTCTCACACGACTCGCGCTTCCGGGAGGGGCTGGTGCTATCAACTAGTTCGGCCGACATGAAATCAACGCAAAAAAAAAGAGCTTGCCCTTGAATTACAACCAACCGGTAAGTCTTGGCACAGGGACGTTGCTCCCACGGAACGTTGTTATCAAGGAACATTGCCGCTACTTCCAGACTGTTTAGTTTAGTGTTGGCTTAGTTCTCGGCTAGCTCCAGGTATACAACAAAGTTGTCCTTTATATAGAAGTGAGCATGGGTCGACGGAAGAAGAAAACGTTGGAGTTGAAGCCCTTTTGTTATTACTGCGACCGGTCGTTTGAGGACGAGAAGGTGTTGTTGTTGCACCAGAAGGCGCGGCACTTCAAGTGTCGTCGGTGCAACCGCAAGTTGGACACGGCGACGGGGTTGGTGGTGCACTTGTTGAGTGTGCACAAGGAGACCATCAATAAAGTACCGAACGCTCTGAAGGAGCGAGAGTCGCCAGAGCTGGTGGTCCACGGGATGTCGGGCGTCCCGCCGGAACTGGTGGCTGAAAAGCAGAAGAAACTAGTCGCGGAATTGGGCACGAAGAAAAACGCCCGGTTCGAACACACGGTCTTCGGCAGCGGGCTTCTCGATAACCTAGGTGGTGGCGCCGCCGCATTCGCTGGTATGTTCTCAGGCCAACTCTTCCCAGGTGCCCTCGGAACCGGCTCCACCGCCTTAGGCGCCGGTGCCACCTTCAACGCTCCGGCCACCAGCACGCTCCCCGACCTCTCGCTCCTCACCAAGATCCTCAGCGCCGGACCGAACACGTCCAGTGCCCTCAGCGCCGCCCTCGGAAGCAATGCTCTCGGCACCAGCCCAAGTGCTCCGATCAACGTGCCCGCCAGCGTCCCTGCCGTTGTCCACCCGCTCTCGCGACTC